TATCCTTGTCAGTGTTGCGGGGGGGCTATCATAGGGCGCGAGCAGGGTGCACCCTGGACAGGTCACCAGTCTGTCACAGGGCTAACACAGAGACAACCATTCACACTGTAATCTAACTCACGGGTTTGTGATGTCACTCTGTCAATCACTAATCACTGCCAGTAAACATACCAGCTAATCCTCCATGACCAACATTTATAAAATGGGTTAGAAAATGAGTGTGTGGGCCCAAAAACTCCTCAGAGAAGAGTTTGCTGAGGTCAAGACCAAGGACGAGTTTCCATAAACCTCTGCAGGAAATAAATGATGGCCACAGAAAAGAGCTTTAAAGGGCGCCCACCTGGGCTTCAGCTTTCAGGCTCTGAAGGTATGGTTGTGTTTTATGCTGAGCACAGCCATGTGTTTTTACAAAAGTAAATACACACGGATCTACTAGTGTCCACTGAGCGTCCACGCTGACCTCCACATGCTGCATTTTAGTATTTCTCTGCAGCACACTCACACACTCCTGCTGCATGTCTCATGCACTTACACACAGCACCACACACCTACTGATGTCACAGAGATCTTTGACTCGACACAGACATATCAAGGACTAACATGTTTCTGACATGTGGACATGTGCTAAACTAATGATCTGGTCACTCTGGCCGTGGCCTGCGCTGAATCATACATGTTATTAATCTCTGGCAGATGGCTCCGCCCCTCCCTGAGCCTGGTTCTGCCGGAGGTTAAAAGGGAGTTTTTCCTTCCCACTGTCGCCAAAGTGCTGCTCATAGGGGGTCATATGATTGTTGGGTTTTTCTCTGTGTTATTGTAGGGTCTGCGTTACAATACAAAGCACCTTGAGGCGACTGTGCTTATTTTGGTGCTGTATAAATAAATTGTATTAAATTTCTGTGGTCAGACAAAGATGGAGATGACTTGTACATTTGAAATCAAAGTAGCTTGCTGGCTATAAGCTCAGTGTGGGGTATTATCACTTATGATTGGCTGGCTGCACTGACATGTTGTCATAGTATTTCATTTCATAAAATGAGCAAACACTGAAAAGTGTAGGACTAAACTCTGGTTACCTGGCTGTAAAAGCAGGTCAGCGATGCTGCTGTTCAGGGTGCAGCCTAGCACAACCATCAAAATACAACTGTTGGCCATTACATGCTTTGAATTGGGAATCAATGCTAAAGGCCAAAATGTAAAAGTCAAATATAAAATTATAAAATAGACATTGGAAAATGCAGTTTTGTAAAAAGGGCATTTATAAAGTAAGAGGCTGAAACAGCAGATGCCTGAGCACCAGCACACTGTCTACGGGTAACACACTGACTGTATTTACTAAGAGCCACGACACAGAAATAAGCAGAAAAACAACACAGTATTATAGTACATGCAACTTGCTTTCTACTGGAGGACCAAAGTATAGCAGGACACAGTTATGACACCATATTACACCAGAATATGTGAAATGTGCAAGTAAGGCAAAATGAGAAGATCGGGGTTTGTGTACAGCAGAGGAATGGCCACCGTGCAGGAGCTGGCATGTGTTACAGTAACTACAGGAACGGACCAGCAGCATACCAGTAAAAGAACCGGCATTTCCAGTCATTTCCAGTGCCCGGTCATGTCAGGACTGACACAGTGAAAGCAGCAGCAGCAGCAGCATCGTGTCCCCATCTCCTGCTGCACGGAGCTGCAGGCTGCTTCATACAGACCCACCGGCACACACCGAACCCACAGTGCCATCTAATAACGGCACTGCTGGGGCCACGATGCAGGATTAGCACTGCGGCTGTCCCTGTATGCACAGGTGTGCTTATCTGTGTTTGTGTAGCAGCCTACCTGTTGTGCCTTTATGCCAGGCACGAGTGTGACTGAATGAACCACGAACCAGCCACGCACGCACACGCACAGGAGCCAAATCCCTCACAAGGTCAAGTTGCTGTTTGTAATACTCCGCTCGCGTGCACTCAAAATCGCATTCACGCAACATGTAAGGTGCGCGTGCATGTGGTAACTCAAAATATTTGAATTGTATGCTAATGACGTCCTTACCGTACACGCCCTGGCCGTGCACGCCCTGCAGGAAGCCGGTAAACAGCCACAGGAGACCGAAAACTACCCCCATCTTCACATCGTCCTGTGGCCTCGTCGCTGCTTCTGCCCCCCTCCGGGGATGAGGGTGGATGTTCGGTTCTCCGCTGCTGCCGCTGCTCTTCCTCCGTCCTCCTCCGCTCCGTACACAATCTCATCCACAGATCCAAATATTTCCCTGCTAGCAGCCTCCGACCCCGGTTAGATATGACGGGCAGATGCGGTTCCGCTCATACCGGTGCTAACGTTTGCTAAAAGCGCCAGAAACCCTTGAGGAGAAGGACGTCCAGCGGCACCCGGCGAGAGCAGATGCTTCACTCGCTCCTTGATGATGACATTCCGGGGGAAAGGATCAAAACTGAAGGAGCAAACAGCCGGTGCGTCAGTCTTCTTTGAGCTGGTCAAAAGTGTGCGCTGACCGTCCGCCGAGTCCACCGGGATGCGCGTCCGTCGGTCAGTACCGGAGATACATCCATCATCCTGCGGAGAAGCGCTACTGCTCCGTGTCAGCGGCTCGGCCCTTCAGGCCGGGGAGAGGAGAGGGACAGTTCCAGCAAAGACGGATAAGCGGTCAGTCCGGTCGATTTGTCGGTGTATTTCACCGGTCGGTGAGAGACGTCACTCAGCCAACCGAGCAGTAAAGTTGCGGGAACGGAGAACGGAAGGACTTCCGGTATTTGTATATCAAAATAAAAGTCACCTGCCAGCTCATCCGCCGTGTTTATGGCTGATTCAGCAGCGAAATCTACAGTCTCTGGATTTCACTGTGCTAAAATATCGCGCTTATTATAAAATAATAATAATTATTATTATTAAGTAATACATTTCTCCCTAATCAGCTGTTAAATGGGAATTACTGGTGCAGGGTGTCATGGTCCAGGTGATTCCGGGGTTTTACCTCCGACTAACGGTTTCCACCTGGAAACTCTCCACCGGGTCTTCAAGTAACCACAGTTAGTGCTGACCGTCATAGATGTTTGCTCACAGCAGTGTTACCCCTGTGTTCTACACCCTCAGTCATCCTGGATCCGCTCACCTGCCTGCCCTCCCGTCACTCTCGGATCACCTCACCTGGACACCACGCTGCTTCACCCGGACCAATTACCCCTCTCTTGCCAAAACCTCCACCTGCAAAGTTAGACAAAGTCTGGTTGTGATTCACTCTCATCAGGATCAGGACTCACCTGGTTTCTGCTCTTGTCAGTGTTCACAGATTACCTGTCCCCTCTCCCCGTGTCACACAATCATAAAATAAGTGAGACACATAACACTGAAATGTATGTTTCATAAAGTAAAGAAACCTTTTTAAAGTAGGTGTAATATTGTTCCGATAGCGACAGTCGTCGTGTTAGGCGGATTATTGTTAAGAGTAAAGGCGCTGACTTATGCTGCCTTCCTGACAAACTGCAGCGGGATGGACACGAGCAGGAATCTGCCGCGCAAAGCGTCACGAGCAGCTTCTGTTTTACACCTGTGGGGGGGAGAGAAAGGACAGCACTCCTCACGAGACACGCAGAGCCTGTGGGCGGCACGCGCGCTGGAAATGACAGCCTGAGCCCTCAGCGCGCACGTGTCCGATCTCCTGCTTCATCCACGGGTCTCAGCAGAGCAGAGGGAGCCTGAGCTCAGCGATGGTGGCGGGATGGCAGCATCCAGGTCTCCGTGCTTAACGCTGAACGATCAACGATATATTTGAATAAATATTTGTTTAAGAAAGAAAGAAAACCAGTTTTCATCCAGCTTCTGCATCTTCTCGCTCGTGAGCACACTTCCTCCGTTACACCAGCCCGTGTTGGTTATACATGCATCCTTATTGCCAGGCTTATATACAGGCTCTGGATTTTAACGCCAATAAAGATGATGTCAATAAAACATGGATGAGGACACACGTGCTTGTATTGATTTCCCCTCTTCGATGACACAGACCTGTTGCTAAACTATTATGGGCTGTAAGCTAAAATGACTGGTAGGTTAAAATGATTCGTGCTGATTCTGTGTAACCAGACTTTTCTAATCTGAAGTCTAATTAAGCCTAAAATAAATAAAACAATTATTATGTCTGCAAAGTCTGCTCTTACAAAATGTGCACTCAGCGGTTTGCTGAGATATAAAATTCATGTTCAGTGTGTTTTTGCAGCCCTGCACTCCATTCCCTGTTTGTCATTTGGCCCTTGGGGAAACTGACTGCCAGTGTTGTCTCTGCACATAACATTAGCAAAGAACCACTTTTAAATGGTATCTTTAGCCCTTTGTTAGCTAAAACATCATTTGTTTCCAGATGCTGTATGCAAGTTTAAACCTGATCTCTGCACAAAGGCCACAGCTTCTTCTTGTATGGTCCAGGAACTGGTGCAGGATTTTTGTCTTTGAGATCAGGAGAGCTTTGTTGTAAATATGTCTCAGTCTGAGTTCAGGCTAAATTAAAAAGACGCTCCGAGATGAATCCTTAATTTCCTCCCATTATCCAGCCTTACTCAAAAGGAACGAATACTAAAGACATTATTGCCATTCCTGTCCAGGGATTGGCTGCTCGTGACCAAATCACCTTATGTTGATAATTTAAAATAGCAGCGAGGGAGCATTAAGGAGAGCAAGACCGAATGAGATGGAGACACAGAAATAAGAATTCAGAGAAGTTTTTCTTTTTTACGAGTAGTAATCAGTTCCCACTAAAGAGATGTAGAGCAGCAGCGGCTCCATGCACCATTACAACACTTTAATGGCATTTCCCCCTCATTTGTGAATAGGAGAGAAAGGGGGATTAATAACACTAGATTTACTATAACTGCGCAAATTTGTGTAACTTCCCTCAACTCAACACCTACTAGAATTACTGGGGTTTTTATTTTCTGGTGCAAGTCCCGCGTTGTTAATCACCCCTGCTGAGAGTTTCACAGGTCGTCAGCTCGTTTTTCCTCCAGCTTTGGTTGTGCAAACCACCCATTATCCTTGAGGCCTGGCACATTTGCATTTGCTCACTCAGAGTTGCTCAGATCCAAGCCAGGCCAAACCTCTGTGTTACAACTTTCAGAAACGCCTGCCGTATCTATACAAAATATCCCACACATTGACTGACCTGCAAATATGAAAGACACACATTCACAGCTTCCGTGACTCTCAGCACAGATCTTCCATTGTTCCATTGTCACTGTGTATGTGAGGAAGTGGCATTGCTTGACTACAGCACAGTGCTGTGCATAAAAGCAGACCGACCCAGGCGGGAGAATCATTTCTTGTTTGCATTTCTGAGAACGCACATCAGGATGGCCTCCGTATCACTGCCACGCAGGAAGAACCTCTCCGCGCAACAGGCTTTGGCCTTGCTTCAGGAAATGGACGAAGCAGATTCTGATGGAGGAGAGGTTCCATTTGTCCAGCAGGCCACTGATACCTCCTCAGAAGAATCTGAAAAGGAGACGGAACAAGAACCCAACATGCCTCCATGGAAGAGGCCCCGTGGTACTGGGAAGCCCAGCCAGAGCCACACGGCAAAAGACGGCACTGTGTGGGTTGAGGAGGACATTGGAAAGCCCAGTGCAGCAGCAAATCGCTCGTGCTTCACTGCGCAAGCTGGACCCACAGAGTCTGCTAAGGTTTGTCACTGCCATATTACATATGATATTTATATAAACCCATTTAGAGTGAGGTTCATGTAAATTTACCATTCTCTATTTGTTTATCTTCTGACAGCGTAAGATTAC